CGCTGAAAATCTTGCCGAGATCCGAAAAACTAGGCAGTCAATTAAATTCACCGAGGTCCAAAAATCTCGGCTGCCATGAAATTTGCCGAGAAAAATAGACTGGCTAATTAGATTTGCGTCCTGAATCTCTCTGAGATGTCACTAAAGTTGATGCCAAAATGATCTGGACAACAACATCAGGTAGGTCACGAGACATGAAAAAGTCTCAAAAAGAAAAGAGTGAGACCATATTCAAGATAACTTAAAAGTTTAATGCGAGATAAAGACTGAAGGAAACTTGTTACTGAAACTGCGACAACTCCAATCAGAGCTCGGTATTCATGCAACTAGCAACAATCTGATTTCTTGTGGTAAAAGCGCCTAATATGGCAACTTCTGCAACAATGTTATTTAAAAAGTTGCAGGTTTTTATCACTCATGCTTAAATCAGAAGCTTTAATTTCAGCTGAGTACGTAACCCTTACATAAGGTCGATTGGGATTGGAACCTTGCAATATACCTGCTCGTTCAATTTGTTTCCTTCGGTTGTAAACCCTAGATTGAGTAAAACATGTCACCTACAGCATGTTAACAAATATGCCAATAACTAACAGGATCTTCAATCATGATAGTACATTAAAAGAGTGAAAACGTGTTAGAAATGACTTCTTTAGATTATTTTGACTTGGAAAAGTTTCAAAGTTTTTTTTCACAAATGTACCATCAAACATCAACAAGCTCTCAGGTTTTCTTTACAAATGCACCATCAAACATCAACAGGCTCTGGAGCGGCCGAGGTCGCGGGCTGAATGTCGTCTTTTTTGAGTTTACGCCTCGTATCTCGACATTTCTAGGAAGCTTTAGTATTAAGAAGTTTTGCCAACTGTTCCATTTCCTCTTTGGCTATTTTAAAACGCTGGAATGTGCAGTCCGTTGAGTGATTAAGAAATGTATAAGTCGTAGTGTGTAGTAAAATATGAAAAGTCAAACTTCAGAAAATCGTAGGGAATTTATTAGAGAAGCTTCGAAAATTGTACATGAATGGAATGTTCATCCAGAAATTTTTAGCCGTCTTCTCCAAACAGATATTTTACAGAAAACGGTCGTTGGGTGCCCTTGGCTAAATAATGTCAAATTTCGAAAAAGAAGAGTACTTACTTTTCTTAGGTTCTGTGGCAACAATGTCCAATCCAGATCATTTTCATAACATTTTTCCAAATCGACGTCCAATCTTTGCATACAGGCAGCCATGACTTTACGGAAGTTTCAAAAATCACGCAGGTGTGTAGACTGAAGCGACAACAAGCCAGCGAAATTACACAGTGCTCAGTTTATCCCTAATAGATGCGAACACAGTCACTCGAGCTGCTATGTCCCTAGAGTGGTATCACTCCTCATCCAATAAAAAGGTGAGATAACAGTTAGGTCTCTTCATTTTCAGAATAACAAAATATACCGAAAAAGTGACAAAAGCGCATAACCCTTTCAAACAGTAATAAGACAATAAGAACACTAAAAAATCTAAAAGTGATGAGAAATGTTGCTCACATAACGACACGTGTTTCTAAATCTACACTCACTATCGGCGTGGTCTCAGTTCACGGTTATACTATACACTTGGTCAACACGTGACAACCAAAGGAAAAGAGGTTGACCATAATCTATGGCTATGGGAGCCCCGCTATTATGAATATTCCTCGTTTTATAAGCCAACCACGCAAAAAAAGTTGCCTTTTACACCAAGAAAAAGCGAGCTACTATTCTTAGGAACATCCCTCGTTCTATAAGCCAACCACGCAAAACAAGTTGTCTTTTACACCAAGTAAAAACGCGCTAATAATCGTTATGAATATTCCTTGTTCTGTAAGCCAACCACGCAAAACAAGTTGCCTTTCACACCAAGTAAAAACGCGCTACTAATTATTATGAATATTCCTCGTTCTATAGGCCAACGACACAAAACAAGTTTGCTATCACACAAAGTAGAAACGTGCTAATAGTCACAAAGCGAGGGCGACCTGTATATCTAGCGCTAATAATATCTTAAGGTGCTGCGAGTATAACAAACATCGTACAAACATTAAAATTGAAAGGTAACGCGTCACTGTCATGTTCGTTCTGTTTATTGTGAATCATGAGCAAACATGACATATGTCTTCTTTCCTGTACGCAAGCACTATTTTTTGGTAATTCTTACTTGTTTAAAAAACTCGAAACAACGCGGAAAGGCGCGAAACTAGCAAAGTGGTATTGAGGCAACAGGTTTTAGGAACTTTACTCAATTCACTGTGAAATTAACTTCTGAAATTACCTAGCGCAATGTCATTATCTACATGGAAGTGTTTAAACCAAAACAAATTTTCAATGAAGAGTTTCCAAAAAGGGTGGTTATATCATGCTGTTGGTTATGACTTTGTATTGTATTTGATGGCTCCAAAAAGAGCCGTTTTATATTCAAGTGACTGAAGTCACTTTTCACTGTTGACGTGGGGTTTGTCGTGGTAACCCATTGAGGTACAACAGTTTGCTATAATCAAGGTCGTAGTAAAACCATTGATGTCTTTTACTGTCAACGTTGTCGTTGACAAATTGTATTTGCCGTGCTCTTTTCTCAGCTGTAGCTTGCGATGAGGCCCAGGACTGAGCTAGAAGAATCCATCTACTGATGATTTCAGGATTGCACCCGTTGCCGTGGAAAAACAGAAGTTTGAATGTTTCCTTATCACCCATTGGTTTCTTCCAGAATATTAAGCGAATATCCTTAGGCCACGATTTCCCTGGAAAAAAGGCGTCGCCGTTGAGCAGTCGGAATAGGTGTTTCCTTTCTTCCACGACTTCTTGCCGAGATAGCAGTTGTATTTCTTCTCGGTACGTACGTACGCGTCTACGGATTGTACGGGTGGGGTAGGGGAGACTATCAAAAGGAAGGGAGGGGTGTCTCTGGCGTGTCTTGCCAAGTCCACATCTTTTACATTGGACATTCACAATATGGTCAATTGACAGCTGTCAAAACAGGATAGCCACTGACCAGTATCCCATGACCATATCGCAGGCTCATGTGTCAACTCATTGAGGTGACGTGATTTATGTGGAAGCTGTCCGCTGACCAGTTAATTATTTTACTAGATCGCGATCAATGTTCGGTCTCATACTTTCTACCTAGTTTGGTATCGGAGTACAGGAAAACTGATACACGTCAATGTTGTGATCCATTGACAGCTGTCAAAACAAGGTATCTGCTGACCAGCATCACTTGACTGTATCGCGGGCTCAGGTGTCGACCCATCGAGGTCAAGTTTTTTTGAAGTTATCCGCTGACAAGGTACTGGTTTTCAAATGATCACAGGCTCAAGTTTAATTTTTTTAAAAAATTCATATGAAATATGTTGTGTTCATGTGCCGCACAAGTAAAATTTTGATTTCAAACTGACCTCGGACACAAAAATTCAGCCAGCTGCTACAGGCAGGGAAGACAGTTGCTTTTGACTTTTCTCGCCATGTTCACGCGTTGGTCAAGCTCTATGTGCAATTTTTATGCTCTGATTGGTCAAAATTTGACAGGTAAGTTCATGCGGAAAATTTATGCAGCATCTTGAATCTTGTTTAATTTGACAGCTGAAGCTGACAGAGTTTTGTGTCAACTTGTGATGTTTTTAACTTTTTCCACTGGATGTACAAAATGAAATTCAGCTGCTATCAGGAGTCTTCTGTTATTCATGGCTAGTTTGTTTATTGGGTTTTTGGTTGAGTCAAAGTCGGAAATCAGATTTCAGATCGCATCATTTTCGTTTTCATCTTGCTTAATGCGTAAGAGGGTTGCAAAGTCTGAAGCGATACTGGCCTTATGTGATACCTTTCAGGAGCTGCATCTCGAGTGGTAAGCCTAAGTAATTATTGTATTTGATGTTTGTTTTTTATTCCTAATTTAATGAAGTCGAGCATAGTTTATGCGGCTATTTTGTTTACACACGTTTGTAAGATTTGAGACAATGATCTGACCGAGTATCAGGTTTGTTATAAGCTTAGAGATCTTTAAAAAGCCTTAAGACATTTTCTCACCGCAAATAGACAGAAAACGTTTCAAAGAATATTTTATTATAATTCTGGCTGTAACAGAAAGGTTTGAGCAATTTTCTTGCCTCAAGTTCGTCTTTGAAAAAAGCAAACACCGGGAAGCCGGCTTAAAACATAAACTTCAGCTTTAAGCTCGAAGACTCAGGATTGTTAGAGACACTTTAATACTTGCCTTCCTGAATGAAAATTGTCGTCTCTTTATATGTTTCACCGAATTATATTTCATTTATTGATTGTTAGTAATCTCTCTTGTAATTTTAATAGTTGTGCCAATTGTTTTCAGTCATTCAGTAAACAACGTTTCCCGGAGTACTCAAAATGCCGTGCGTTAAACCGTTTTAAAATAAAAAATAAACATAATAAATTCTTTATTATGTTGGAGCGTAACTCTGTTAATGTTCATTCAAACACTCGCCACTGCTGGCACTGTAAAAGTCAGAACCAGCTGGCTGTATAGATGATTTTGAAAAATTTTTCAACGGTTTATGGCTAAAGCTCACGCGTGCTTTGATCGTCCTGAATAGCAATTTGTATCGCAATATTGTGAAATACTGCATTTTGTTGTCCGAGGTCTGTATGATAAAAACAGTGCCTCATAATACTGTTTCACCTCAGATGTGATGTATAAATGATATAAAAGGTTGGAATTAAGCTTTCGGTATCTCAGTCCTCCACGCCTTGTCGAGAGCGTCTTAACCATCGGTTATATAACCTTTGGCTTTCTCGAGGCCTTTGCAGCTTGATACACAAGTTGAGGAGAGCACTTTGTAAGTCTGAAAGTCTTTGCTGTGATGAATCATGGTAGGGCCAAGAAAGACGGGCGTCTTTCCAGTTCTCTTGGAAGTTAGAAATAAATGCTTGTATACAACTGGAGTTACCTCAAATTGACCCATGTTGAAAGTTGGATCAACACAGATAGGATGGCTTAGCCTGTCTGATGACGTCAATCAACCCAGATCATTGCACATCACCTTCGTTCCCAGAACCCAAAGGTCATTAGGCAAATCTTCATGTCGCAAGACAACTGTATCGTCCTTCATTCGGGCATAAACTAATAAATCTTCCACTGGATCATTTTCCTTGTTAGCTCTAAACTGCAAATCATATACCTGCTTTCTAGAACGTGGTAAGGTTCCTGGTGTCCTGGCTTGACTAGAACCGCCTGCTTTATCATACACAGCTTTATATACTTGAGAGGGTGCGTTGTTGCCTACTTTTTGTTTCAAAGCTTCAAGCGTGCTCTTAGCTGTAGGATAGAAGGCTGCCTTTGAGAGTTTACTGCTGTTCCCATGGACACCAACATGAAAGTCCACTTGCTCTTCTCCAGACGTTATGTGGTACTGTAACAGGGCCATTCCATTCACTATTGTGTGAGAGGAATCTTTCATCAGAAAGATTGATCGCACGAGAGAGGGACAAGCTTTGTTTGCCTTCGAATTAATCAGTAGGTGGTATTGGCTATTCTTCATGAGCGGCAATGCTTTTCTCGCGACGAGTTTGATGTCGGTTTCACCATTGTCGTTCTTTTGACACTCAAAAGTCCACGTTCCACACGTCAGAGGCTTAGTATAGGCGCCATTCATGTCGTCTTTGATGTCCTCCCAGTTATTGTAGGAGTCCACATTTACCAAGAATGCTGCATTTTCTCTCACTCGCAAAGGATGGCGATCGCAGGATGGCTCATTTACACACTGACACAGGAGAACTTCCATGGCTTCTTTAGCTGTATACCTTGACTTCTTCCCCAGCTCCCAAACGGGAATTTTAGGGTTTGATTTCCAGTAACCATGGCTCTGGAAAAAAAAACAACTCGCAATGAGAATTCTTTGTTAATGGTACCACAAAGTCGGTAGTAAATTAAAAAAAAAAAAAACTATTTCCTACGAAATTCGACTTCCGACTCCTGACTTCTGACCTCGGGCTTTTCATCACTTCTTAATTACTTTAGAGGTCAAAACAAACTCCTTCTCTGCTGTTGGAGTATGGGCATATTTTCTGACTTCTTATTTTTTAGCACTCCTTAGTATACATTCCTTACGTTATAAATGATACTGAAATAGCAGTCCGACTTCTGGCTTCATATATTTATTATTCATTTCCTATTACGCCTGTGAGATGTATATTATTATTAAAGTTACATAAACGAAAATCTTTACGTCATAGGAATTGATAATTATAACAAACCAAATGACAAAACAATGGTTTGATTCCGTACCTGTGATACGCGATCAACTGCTTCTACTGTGGGGATGCTTTCGTCGACAGCAATTGTCTCTTTTCCCAATCCATGAGTGTCACCTCTGGTGGGGTCTGTGTCAGAATATCAGGGATATCAATTAGTTTTAAGTCGCACATCAGTTTTATTTTGGATCTGGACTTTTGTTCAGTTCCATTGACCTAACATTAACATGTCTCACTACAGTAACTGGACTAGAGCATTATATATTGAAACTTACACGAAATCTTTTGTATCCCAAGCAAGAAAAGGGTAAACATAATAAAGTGGGCCTACCTGGATAAAAACAAGCATAAAGCAAAACTACTGGCAATAAGATATTGAAGGTTTCGTACCCCGTTGCACGTAGTCATTTTCTCTAGGGCGCTTGGTTCTAGCCATGATAAGATTTATTACTGGGTGTTCGTCATCATTTCCAGGACGCTTGCTTCCTGCAGCGGGTGTATTTTTCCTAGGGTTTTCACCATCACCTTCAGCGCGTGGCTTCACATCAGTATCCTTCTTTTGTGTTACAGAGCACTTAGCCTCATCGTCAGAGGAGCTGTCAGTGGAAATTTTTGCGCTTGTGTTTTCAACATGAGGTAGTGAATTTGTTTCAGACGCTTGTTCCCTAAGTAAAAATAAAAATAAGGATAGTTAGGGTGTGAAACAAATGGAAAATGATACTTCAAATATATGCGGTTCATTCCGTTTTTCACAACTAGCAGGTCGGGAAGACCATTGCTTTTTAAAGGCAAGTAATTTTCGCCGGTGAAATGAAATATACTCTTTTCTTAGAGCATCCTAGAACCATGGTGGGAGGTTGAAGGGCCTCACCCCTTATATCTGAAAAAAGCGTCTTAAAAGGGAAGACATTCACGTTATTTCAAACGTTTAAGTATAATTCGATTGTGAGGTATCAAAGCGAGATCATTATGACGTTATAAAGGTGGACTTTTTTTGTCTACTCAGTTCTACAGTGAGAAAACCTGAAATTGAAAACAGTCTTAGTTGGCAAAAACGACATGTGTATGATATTTGCACAACATATTTTGGATCTTAGGGTCATGCTCAACAATATTCTCAAATAATCGGAGGGCAAATATCGAAGAAGGCAAGATATATTAACTGATGCCAGTCCACCACGTGACATAAAATAGCCAATAACATCGGGCAAACTAATCGGCGAGTTATACACATCAATATGTTCAAGCCCCTCCCATCTTAACCAGAAATATTGATCTGTTCCGTTATGTATCTCATCCTATTAGCTTGCATACGTCAAAGGTAAACTTACTCGGTCTGTGGTGACACAACTGCTGATGCGTGAGAGGCAGTGACCAGGTTTATGCTCCCAAGATCTTTTTGAGGGCGCTTACTATCATCCGGGATAAGATTTATTACTGAGTGTTTGTCATCATCTCTGCGACGCTTGGTTCGCATACCAGGCAGTTCAAAATCCCTATCCTTGTCTTCTGTAACAGAGCACTGAACCTCATCGTCGGAGCAGCTGTCAGTGGGACACTTTCTGCTTGTTTCTTCACCAGGAACTGAAGACTTGGCATCAGACACTGTTACCCTGAGTAAAAATAAGATGTCAGGATAACTGACCAACATTAATTTTGAGACGGCGTTACGACTTTTGAATTGACAGACGGTTGTTTGGGAGAAAATATCATGACTACGCACCGTGAGTACTCCGGGATCATATTCTCTCTCAATGCCGTTCCTATATAAAGCCTTTATTCCTTCAGAGAATTCACTTTTTTTTTGTAGCAAACCGACTACTTTTTGCAGACCAAAAGAGCAAAACATTAGTATTTCGTGCGCTGATTAGGAAAATTGTGAATTTGGATATATAAAGGTATTGTTGTAAGCGACCACAAGTCTTTTTATTTTGGGTAGTCGCTTACGGGAGGTTCGAAATAATTCTAGTAGGTGGGCGATCTGGGAGCAAAATTATTCAAAAGAGTCAACTGCCAGGGTGTTCCCCCTGAAGATGGGCGATTTTGGAATTGACTGGTACATAAGTGTTGCCCACGAAGTTCTTAACGCCTAATGTAGGTTTTGTTTGCAGCAACACAGAAGTTTATCGCTTCAATGCAATTGTCAACTTAAACCAACCTCGTTCCCAGGGTCATCTCCTACCCGTCCCTACGGAGTGAAAGAGAACAGGGTTGAACTAAAATGAAAAATGGAAATTCTGACCACCATATCGAAATGGTTTTAAGTTTTAAGGGTCGAAAACTGATACCTATTTTGCTTAATTGTCTATTTCTTGTCGTAAACCAATGACTCGCTCAATTGCAAGTGTGCCTATACCCTCTCCGGGTGCTTTTCGGAAAAGCTGCAAATGCCCCATGGTGGGGCCGGTCGGCTCATACAAAACCCCACAGGCATGTGCAAATGACCCACGCAGGGACAACACCAAAAATTGCATTCTCTAGTAAATAAGGTATTAACTATTGCATAAACAGATTGTCATATCCTTCTGATTAGTATCAATTACAGAATTTTAAACTAGAATGGTATTTAATGCGACTCGCAATGATCACAGAAAACAGGAAGTTGTCATAAGGGGTCAATTGCATATGACTTGGACAAGTGTAATGTTTACACTAACAGTCAGTCAGTACAAATTTTATTTTAAAAATATATACCCCACTTAAATTTATTAACCCATGCACTTACCTGGTTTTTGGCGACACAACTGCAAGTGATTGACATGTACCAGGCTTCACACCCCCATGGTCTAAACGCTGCCACAACCACACACACAGACTCTTCCACAATTCACGCGAATTTTGTTTTCCTATCAGTAAAAGACCGTTGCCTTTTCCAGGCTCCAGTGTGACAGGGTGAGTGTCCGTGATGAAGGGGTGGCCATCATAACATCCAATGCTTAAAACAAAAGGATCACTGGTGAAAATCGCGAAGAAGTCTTTGCGGCCAAGCTCACACAGCTTCGAGTGAAGCTTACGTCTGCCTTCAAAGGAAAAGACGTGGTCTGTAAAAGGAAGCTCTTCGGAGAATTCACAGGACCCTACCATCATCTGTTCTTTAAGAATCGCATAGGCTTCTAAAACGTCATACAGTTTGTCCAGTTCTCTGTGTTCATTTATTTGTGCTGGTAAGTTCTAAATTGTTTCTTCAGCAACTTCAACTAGGTTGGTAAAAAATCCCTCCTGTTCCGCACCTTCTCAATAATCAATCCGCAATCTTCACAGAGATGAAGGCGCAAGCATTTGTTCCGTCGTTTATCAAGGCTGATTCTGCTTGGATGCAGCCCTCATGCTCCTCATGTTCAGCCGTACCCTTAAGACGAAATGCAATTTGTTGGTCGAACTGTTCTATAGCTGTACTTTGGCTAACTTTCAAGTGCACGACGTCCACGTATTCGGAAAGGTCAAGACTACTTCTTTCCATGATATCAGCAGCTTCCTCTAAGGACATTCGAGAATTCCGGTTAAAGTTAACACATCCTTTGTATACCTCCTCTAATCCAGACCACACTGTTGCCCACTGAACTTCATATTTCGGATCTTGAAGGGGATGTTTCTTCTGTATTAATAAAGAGCAAATGAATTTTCTTAGCTCTTCCTGGGAACTAATGCCTCCTGCTGATCGGATCTCTGAGCGAAAGGGGTATTTTAGACTTGGGTTTATCAAGCAAAAGAAGATCATACCAAGGGCTCAAATGTCTACAAGGAGGAGATCAGAGATCGAAATGCCAGTTTTGGGCAAATAGTTGAGAAGAATTTCTGGTGCCATATACACCGCAGTTCCTCCGTCAACGTTGGTGGTTTTCGTTGAAATAAAAGACTGTGTTTGGATAAGCAGTGACCGACTCTCCCCAAAATCCGTGAGCTTGCATGCTATTGGTCTCAAAAGATACTGTCACGTGATTTCTTCATCGTCTGCCAATTCGCAATAATGTTGGTTGCTTATTAATATGTTGGCGGGTTTGAGATCTCTATGCACAATTCCTTTCAAATGAAGAGAAGCCAGGCCCTCAACAATTTCAGCTGCTGCATGGTAATTCAGCTCGTGAAAGTCCACACAATTGAATTCATCAATTTTCACCAAAAAGTCAGCGAGTGAACTGACACGCACATCTGATCCAAATTGCTTGAAATCAAAATACACATACTCAAGCATCATGGCAAGAGGCTGACAACACACGGCTTTGAATTCAACGATGTTTTTGTGCTTCAGGTCATGAAGAAGGGCCACCTCCTTGGAAAATAGCTTCTTTTCCTCGTCATCTAGGACATGCAGCATTTTCTTTACCACAACTGTTGTCGTTTTGTCATCTCCCGGGAATCTGTAGTCGGTAGTATAAACATCGCCAAACGCTCCTTGTCCGATTCTCTCCTTAACAGATAAATTGTTGCAATCGAAGCGCTGGATACTTGAATTTATATAATTTCCAGATACTGCTTTACTTTTTGATAGCTTAGGAAGATGAAATTTTCGGAAAAGGGACATTTTCGATCGAGGAGATCCCGATCGAACACGCCGCCACGAGCAAGAATTCATGTGATCAATTTTCCCGCTGAAAATTATTACCCCGGGAATCCTGACCTCTGGCAACCTACTGTCACGCAATCTTCACTTTGTATTGATTGTTTGTTTATTTTATTGTTCTGAAATGAGAACTCCAATTCTCGAGACGATGCTTTGTTAGTACAGGAAATTCATTCACTCATTCGTTTTTCTGTTATTATTTCATGAGTGATTTTAGCGATTATCCCTCACAGACTATTTCTCCTTACCCCCCCACCCCTACCCCTCAACTACCTTTGCATTGTAACCCGGTGATCTCCGGGGTGGCAACGATGAAAACAAGCGCTAGAAAAACGCAATGTAGCATATTCTCCTTTTTTCGCCTTTTTTTATAAAAGCACTTTTCTATCTATGACCTGGCCAGAAAAGGAAAAAAAACCGTATTTTTGTGCGATATTTAACCGATAACGCCGTTGACCACTCAGCGATCAGGCATTCAGGTCGCAGCGACATGTCAGCCCGCAACAAAGACAAAAATCCGTCTCCAGGAAAACCAATCTTATGACCTTAAGGATAAACAACCAAAATTATGGAGGTAAGGTATATTTTAGGTGTACAATTATACGTAGGTAGTCTATAGGTTTCATCCTCTTCTTAAAGCCACAATATTGATAATGTATGTCTGCAAATTGTGAGCAGAAGCGGATCGTCTAGCACGCGTGTGATAGTAATTTTTGTTTGTCTTACGGATTATAGTCTTCAAACGGTCGTAATTCAACTATGTAGAAGTTTTAGAGATTGTTTTGGTGGGGGTCTTAGTTTTCGTAATTAAGAAAACTAAGACCCCTAAATTTACCGTTAAATTTGACCTAAAACTCGGTGGAAAGGATCGAACATGATATAATTTGACAGATCAGACCTATTTCGGTTACAATTTGACTTTATATTTCGACGGATTCGATTTTAGGGGGTTTTAGTTTTCGTAATCTCGAAAACTAAGACGGGTCTTAGGTCTTCGTTTTCGAGGGTCTTAGTTTTCGTAACACCCATTAATCATAGGCTTATAATGTTAGTGACATCCCTACTGCATGGAGTTATGCAAACGAGATCATCTTCTGCAGATGAGTGTGGCATTACAAGAACAATTTGAAAATATAAAAATGTTTGAAGAACGTTTTTTCGTACATTATTTTTGAAGCACCAAAAGTCCCTGTCTTAGCGTCAACACAAACACTGAAAATTGAAAAAAACTTTGAACATAAAAGTCTCAGCTTGAAACAACAAAAAATCAAAATAAATGTGTTAAAAAGCTCTAAAGTTGCATTTAAACAAAAAAATCTGGCTTGGGCAATTTAAAAGCCTCCGCTTGAGAGGGGTAAATGCATAGTGATGTTTTAACATCGTTACATTAAAGTATTGTAACAGTTATGCAAGCACAAGAAAACACATAATTGTCGATAAAATGATAGAATTGTTATAGTTTTTCAACAGCAATCTTAATGCAATTGTTAATTTCTGCAAGTAGTTCCACCATGAGGGTCAGGCTTAACTCTTCCCAGTTTTAGTTCAGTTTTGTGCACATTTCCTTTTAGATGGTGAATCACGGATCTCTTGTGTTTAATTCTTTCTTTGCTTTTAATGATGTACCTTTGAATTAGAGTTTTTGCTCTACATGAAGTTTTTTGGTGTTATTCACACAAATTCCCACCGTGTTCCTTGTATCTTGTACGTGTTATCTTTACTTAAAAAATATTTTTCAGACAAGCCCAGTCATGCATACATACGTTTATTCAAAGCATCTAAGAATAAAGATAAATAAATATATACAAAGAATGCGTTGAAAAAGGAGTTAAAAAAAGTTGGCCATACGTAGAAGACTTCCTAAACATATTCTATAAATCTTAACAATGTAATGCTAAGCATTTACATTCAAACTGGTAGTTAGGAATAAAACCAATAAGAATAAAAACAAAATACCTGGAGATAGGTAAAAATGATCCTACAGAACACTTAAAACATGCAAGATTTCCCGCCCCGACAACACACTAAGGTGAATCATTACATTCTTATACAATTCTCACCAAAAGTGAATATTTGTTACAGTTACAACTAGATGCTTGAAATATACATTTGTAACACTCGATCAGAGAAAAATATAATCTTCGATTCTTTAATGCTGACCACTTTAACCCATTCGCTCCTGGAGATTTTGCCGAAAAACACGTTTTGAAGCTAGTCGAGTGGTTTTCTGGTCACTGCCGTGCTATAAAGAGCTGAAACTTACCACAAACCGGTTTACAGGTCGTACACTTCGCGGCCTTCTGATCCAGATGCAAAATATCAGCTTGCGAAGTTCGGGCATGCGCAGAAAGCAAAATTTCGAGTTTTTGGGTTTAAAAGTGACACAGCAGTCTGGACTTTTATTTTTCGCTTTCTCTCCTCCCTTTTTTCGCTTTTCTTACCTCATTTTTTTTCTCTTGCTGGGCATTTAGTAGGCTTTATTTTGGTGGGAAGAGTTTTAAGGAAAGTTTTTAGGATCTTAGGATTAGGTGAAAGGAAAGGTAGGTGAGCAATGGGACAAGATTTTCATGGAGATTTTCAAGTCAATGTCACGTGTTTTTTTGCTTCTTTCTCCGGTGTCCTTGACTGAATTGTGCTCATTCTGGTATGGTTTGAAAGATCTCTTCACTCTGCACAAGTTAGCGAAGAAAGTTGTCCCTGACCGTTAAAACTGATGATGTCACAAAGGGTAGAAAGGACCTGGATCCGCACGGGCGGTTACGGGCGGTTCAGGGGCGAATGGGTTAAGATGGCATAACATTCCGAGGGCCAGTCTTGATGCTCTCCTTTGGACCTTTTCTAAAGAAACAATGTCCTTTACTTGGAAGCACTACACTGGAGTCACATACTCTAGGATCAGCCTTGCTAGAGATTTGTATAGCAAAGGGAATTCTTTTACACTAGTAGACCTAAGCACATACTTAATGGCCCCAAGGACTTTGTTAGCTTTATAATCCTAGCCACAAAGAAAATGACAACACGTACATATATGTCAAAATCGTCTTTATTGTTTGTGGAACAAGCAAAGCTGCATCAATGGGAAGGCAAGACCAACGCTGTTCCCCCCGGATGCAGCCCGCTAGTGGTGGATTAAATTTTGCAGCGCGATTCGCCTTTGTTTATTGTAAAATGCGAACAAAAAGTAACCATGCTCAAGTTTTAATTTGGGCCACGCTTCCGGAAAGCGAAGAATGAAGATTCTTGTAAGCCCTCAGACCTTTGGCCTGAAATATTGTTGCGCCATATTTGTAACAAGTTCGTTTAAACGCGTCGATCCCCTTGTGAACAGGTTCCCTGTTTGGGAAAGGAAGCTAAAAATCATTTGTTCTCCCTCAATGGGAGCCTGTTCACTTTGGCAAGTCAGTTGGTGGTCTGGCCAGGTTGCATAAAACCTTCTTAACATAAGAGAGCTCTTAACTTTTGTTCTGGAACAATAACCTATTGTTTTGAAATAATAGTTACGAGTTCTCTTAATGTTAAGAAATTTTAAAGTAAACAAAGTGATTGGCGTTCTGGATGTCATTGTTTTTATTCCGTCAAACGTAACTTTTTCGATCCCTATGCACTTTTTAGTAACAAGTAAACTATGCAGTTCAAAGACCACCATGCCCCAAAAACAAAAAGGAAAGAAAGATAATAACTAGTCCCCGATTTCCGATGATGTGGTATTTTTTGTGAACGGAATTTCCTTGACATGTCCGCCCCTCACCAATTTTTCATAGTAAACCGGACTAGGGACAGCGTTTAAACGTCTGTCCAGAAAGATGAAGGTGGCATCTTCTTGGTCTTCTTGGAAATCACCCTGTAGGAAAAATGTTTGAATAAATGTCTTTTCCTGGCTTTCAATTCATGCAGTATGTACTTAATCTCCTCTGTGTTGAAGAGGGGTTTACCTCAATCCATTGCCATCACCAATTACAGTCGCGCACTAAGTGATGCCCAGTGTAGCCTGAATTTCATCCGATTACTTCGAGTCGTCGTAACTCCCTCACTAACGTCTGAATCGACCGGTCGTCAATGCCGTCCAGTGACGTCACTGGACGGCATTGACGACCGGTCGATTCAGACGTTGAGAGCAGAAAACGACTCGAAGCAATCGGATGAATTTCAGGCTATGCCCAGTGCAAAACAAGGGAACTAAAAACGTTGTCACTTGTCAGTGACTGTAGGATAGATTACCTAGACTTCTCTAATCCTCTTACTGTCTGGCTCCGTGTGGGGCTCGCTGGCTTTCCTTTTATTTTTATTTTTTTTCTTCTTTGTTCTTTCTTTTTTTTTTCTTTTTTCCTTTTGCATCTGCACAAGAAAAACATTATGGATTAAGTAAGTGAACGAACTGAGCTTACTAGAAAATTGTTTAGGACGCTGCACTAGCATTTCAGAGACACAAGACTGCACTTGACACAATTACTGGCTACATACATAAATAGGGAAACTTGTAAAAAGGGCATTAACTTTAGACGATTATGCACTGTTTACTACATATCGCCGAAGGAGTGCATACAACAAATTTTATTATCTCCTAAAAATACAACTTTTATGTTGGCTGCAGATCTCCTTTGCCACTAAAGAGCTGTTAATAATATCAGCCTATAGTAAAATCCAACTAGTGGTCTATCATCAATGCTGCGTTCTGATTGGTTGAGCGACTACTAGCGCTCGCTTTCAAAACCAAAACAACGGCAGCTGACTCGCGTTTTGCTAGCTAAAGTTGTCTTGTCTGGATATTTTTGACCAACTAGTTGAATTTTACTAAAACAAAAATCCCTTGGACCTCAAGGGCTATTCACTCACAGGCCATTCGAGCTCGAGGAATAATGGTTAAACATTTTAACATAAATGTTATATCTACAGTAAAAAACCGTGAGTAAGAACCTACATTTTCTGGAGTTGGCCTAAACAGGTTCTTTTTTAAATGGTAG